GTGCCCAGTGCCCACCTGGAGGTGATGGAAGTGCCCAGTGCCCACCTGGAGCCCACGGAGGAGGTGACAAATGTCCACCTGGAGACTCTGGAGGTGCCCGGTGCCCACCTGGAACCCCCCGAGGAGGTGCCCAGTGCCCACCTGGAAACCTTGGAGGTGCTGGGGGGGGCATCTGCCTACCTGTGCCTGCAGGTGAGCAGGTGAGGGGGCACCTCGGGGGGCAGTTCCCCAGGTGAGGGGGTACCTGGGGGTACCTGGCGGGGGGGAGGGGCGTTACCTGTGTCCCCCTGTCAATAAAGGTGCCCCTCCCCCCCCAAGTGTGCCTCATCCTTGGGGGTGGGGCCTTGAGGAGGCGTGGTCATGTTGGGGGCGTGGCCATGGGCTCCATAGGGGTCATGGTACGTGACCAGTATGGTCCCAGTATCCCCCAGTACGGCCCCAGTATGGCCCCACTGAGTCCCAGTATGGCTCCGGTATTGCCCCAGTACAGCCCAGCTGACTCCCAGTACGGCCCCAGTACAGCCCAGCTGACTCCCAGTATGGCCCAACTGACCACCAGTATCCCCCCAGTATGGCCCCACTCCCTCCCAGCCCCCTCCCAGTGCCCCCCAGTGCATTGAAACCCCCTCCCAGTCCATTCCAGTGCCTCCCAGTATATCCCAGTCCCTTCCCAGTGCACTCAAACTCCAAGTCCCTCCAGCCCCCCCCTCCCAGTGTCCCCCAGTCCCTTCCCAGTACACTGAAAGCTCCCTCCCAGTCTCTCCCAGTATATCCCACTCCCTTCCTGTTGCACTGAAACTCCCTCCCAGTCCATCCCAGTTCCTCCCAGTATACCCCAGTCCCTCCCAGCCCCTGCACTCCCCCTCCCAGTGCCCCCCAGTCCCTCCCCTCCCCCTGCGGTGTCCCCTCCCCTCCCCCTCCCCACCTGTCGGTGTCACCTGTCGGGGCCGTGACCCCGCGGGGGCTCATTAATCCCTCCCCCCCCCGCGGGTAATTAATACCCCCTGCCGAGGGCGATTAATCATTCCCGGGGGCTCATTAATCACCCGCCGAGGGCAATAAATCATCCCCCGCCGGTAATTAACCCCCGGCAGCTCGTTAGTGAACAGCTGCTCCCGGGGGGGGTCACGACCCCCCAAATATCCCCCCCCCGGCAACACCTGGCCCGGCCCCGGCGCCTCCCAGTACAGCCCAGTACAGCCCAGTACAGCCCAGTGCACTGAAACCCCTTCCCAGTGCCCCCCAGTCCCCTCCCAGTCCCTCCCAGTATCCCCAAATCCCTTTCCAGCACCCCCCAGCTCCCCCCAGTCCATCCCAGTCTCTTCCCAGTGCACCGAACTCCCTCCCAGTACCTGCCAGTGCCTCCCAGTTTCTCCCAGTGCCTCCCAGTGCCCTGAGCCCCCCCCCCCGTGTCCCCTCGGGGTGGGGGAGGGTCTGGCGGGGGGCCCGGGGTGGGGGAAGGGCAGGGACAGGTGCGGGGGGACCCGAAATAGCCGGGGGGGGACAGGGCCAGGTGGCACCGGTGGCACCAGTGGCACCGTCAGCGGGGGCACTGGGAGGGACTGGGGGGCACTGGGATATACTGGGAGAGACTGGAAGATACTGGGGTATACTGGGAGGCACTGGGAGGGAGTTTCAGTGCACTGGGGGGCACTGGGGGCACTGGGGACACTGGAGGGGGGCACTGGGCACACCGGAGACACTGTCCCCCAACCTGTCCCTCTGTCTCCTCCTTGTCCCTTTGTCCCCCTCGTGTCCCCCCGTGTCCCCTCCATGTCCCCCCATGTCCCCAAAGCCCCCCCCATGTCCCCGTGACACCCACGTCACCCCCGTGTCCCCCCCAGGTCTCCCCATGTCCCTGTGTCCCCCCCATGTCCCTGTGTCCCCCCTTGTCCCTCTGTCCCCCCATGTCCCCCCATGCCCCCCCCCATGTCCCCCGTGTCCCCGTGCCCTCTCTGTCGCCCCCCCCCCCTTGTCCCAGTGTCCCTCTGTCCGTCCGTCCCCCCCGTGCCCATCTTTGGCCGTGGGTGACACACACGTGTCCCCACACGCAGGTGACAGAGATTAGCGGGGCCCGGGTGGCACCGCGGGCACGGGGAAACTCTGAGTCACAACCGCGGGGGCCGCCGAGGGGGCACCTGGGGGGGCACCTGGGGGGGCACCTGGGGGGGCACCGACACCCCCCGACCCGCCGGGGGACACAGGTGAGACAGCGGGGCCACCCCTGGGGACACCGGCAGGAGGGGTGGCACCGGGGGGGGGCGGGGACAGGTGGGTTGGGGGGGACAGGTGGGTTGGGGGCACAGGTGGGTTGGGGGCACAGGTGGCACCTAGGGGCAGGTGATGGGGGGGAGACCTGGATGTTGGGCAGGACTGGGATGGTCTGAGTTGTACTGGGATGGATTGGGGTGGACTGGGATGGACTGGGATGGACTGGGATGGACTGGGTTGGACTGGGATGGACTGGGATGGACTGGGATGGACGAGGTTGGACTGGATTATACTGGGATGGGTTGGGCTGGACTGGGGTGAACTGGAATGGACTGGGTTATACTGGGATGGAGTGGGATGGACTGGAATGGACTGGGTTATACGGGGATGGACTGAGATGAGCTGGGCTGCACTGGGTTGAACTGGGTTATACTGGGCTGGACTGCGTTGAATTGGGCTATACTGGGCTGGACTGGGTTCGACTGGGTTATACTGGGCTGGACTGTGTTCGACTGGGACAGACTGGAATGGAATGAGCTGAGCTGGGCTGATATCGACTGTACTGGTCTGTACTGGTCTATAGTGGGCTGCCCCAGAGGAGGAGGAGGGGGATGAAGATGAAGGTGAGAAGGATGAGGATTAAACTGGGCTGGGTTGTATTGGAGTGAACTGGTCCATACTGGTCCATACTGGTCCATACTGGTTCCCAGGGCCCATGGAAGCAGCGGCTGAGGAGGAAGAGGAGGAGGAGGAGGAGGAGGAGGAGGAGGGGGAGGCCCAGGAGAGGCTCCTGCAGCACCTGATGGTTCAAACAGGGCGGGACCTCCCCCAGTGCCAACTGGAGCGGGACTGGGACGTACTGGGAGAACTGGGCAGTGGCTCCTACGGGCACGTGGTGCTGGCACAGCCCCGGGACGGGGGTGAGGGGCTGGGGGGGCACTGGGAGGGCTCGGGGGGGCTCGGGGAGGGGGGATTTGGGGGCACCTGTGCGCCAGGTGAGCACCTGACACACCTGACGCACTTCAGGCTCCGCCCCCAAACACACCTGGGAGATCCAAGGGACTCGGGGGGGTCTATGGGGTGGGGTAGCCTGTCCCCAGGTGTGCCCAGGTGCCCCCAGGTGTGCCCAGGTGTGTCTATAAGAGGTATAACCCATCCCCAGGTGTGCCCAGGTGTGTCTGTGAGGGTATAACCCATTACCAGGTGTGCCCAGGTGTGCCCAGGTGCGTCTCTGGGGGTATAACCTGTCCCCAGGTGTGCCCAGGTGCCCCCAGGTGTGCCCAGGTGCCCCCAGGTGTACCCAGGTGTGTCTCTGGGGGTATAACCCATCCCCAGGTGTGCCCAGGTGTGCCCAAGTGTGTCCCCACCCTTGCCCAGGTGCGCCGGTGGTGCTGAAGCTGCTGCGGAAGGACCGGACGGGCAGGTGGGGCTTCCTGCGGGAGTTCTGCACTCACCTGTGCCTGCGGGGGCAGCTCACCTGCCTGCAGGTGCTGCCCCTGGCCTTCGAGACCCCCACCCACTTCGGCTTCGCGCAGGAACACGCACCTGCCGGGGACCTGTGCGGGCTGCTCACACCTGGGGTGAGTGCTCAGGTGTGCAGAGACTCACCTGGGCTGGCTGCTCACACCTGGGGGGAGCGCTCAGGTGTGTCTGGAGTGGGCCCAGGTGCGTTTGGGGGGGGACAGGTGTGAGGGGGAAGGATGCACAGGTGTGAGGGATGCACCTGCCTGGGACCTTTGCGGGCTCCCCGAGCACCAGGTGAACCCTGCACTCACGGGTGACCCCACAGGTGACCCGAGGTGACACCAGGTGACCCCAGGTGTCTCCAGGTGACCCCAGGTGTGCCCCCCCCCTCCCCAGGTGAGTCTCCCTGAGTCCTGGGTGAATCCCTGCACTCACAGGTGACCCAAGTGATGACTCCAGGTGACCTCAGGTGACCCCAGGTGACATTGGGTGACCCTGTGTCCCACCAGGCATGTCCCCCCCTCCTCAGGTGGGCCTCCCCGAGCCGCAGGTGAAGCGCGTGGCCACCCAGGTGGGCGCGGCCCTGGATTACCTGCACGGCCACGCCCTGGTGCACCGCGACGTGAAGCTGGACAACGTGCTGGCCTTCGACCCCCAGTGCCAGCTGGTCAAACTGGGCGACTTCGGCCTCACCCGCGTCATGGGCTGGCAGGTGGGGCCCACCTGCGGCTCGGGCCACGCCCCCTACGCCGCACCTGAGCTGTGCCACCTGCGCGAGGCGGAGACGCTGCGCCTGGAGCCCAGCCTGGACGCCTGGGCCTTCGGCGTCCTCCTCTTCGCCCTCCTCACCGGCAACTTCCCCTGGGGGGCGGCCGCGCCCCCGGATCCCCAGTTTGGGGAGTTCCAGGTGTGGCAGGGCCGCACCTGGCGGCCAGGTGGGCTCTCCGGCGGCGGGGGGGAGGTGCCGCGCGCCTGGCGGGGGTTGGGGGAGGCGGCGCTGGAGATGCTCCGGAGGCTCCTCCGGCTGGAGCCCGACAGGCGGAGCCACGCCGGGGAGGTGAACAGGTACCTGGACAGGTGCTGGGGAGGGCAGGCGGGGGGGGCCTGAGGGGGGTGGGAGCGGGGCAGGCACACCTGGGGGTGGATTCGACACACCTGGGGATGGGTCGGACACACCTGCATGTGGGAGAGAAACACCTGGAGATGGGTTGGACACACCTGGGGATGAGTTGGAAGTACCTGGGAGTGGGTCAGAGGCACCTGGGGATGGGATAGACACACTTGGATATAGGTCAGAGACACCTGGGGATGGGTCAGACACACCTGGGGATGGGTCAGACACACCTGGATATGGGTCAGACACACCTGGGGATGGGTCAGAGACACCTGGGGATGGGTCAGAGACACCTGGGGATGGGATAGACACACCTGGATATGGGTCAGACACACCTGGAAATGGGATAGACACAGCTGAGGATGGGACTGAAACACCTGAGAATGAGTTGGACACACCTGGATATGGGTCTGGAACATCTGGAGATGGGTCTGACTCACCTGGGAATGAACTGGAAGCACCTGGGGATGGGATAGAAACACCCGGGGATGGGTCAGACACACCTGGATATGGGTCAGAAACATCTGGAAATGGGTCTGGAACACCTGGAAGTGGGTTGGAAGAACCTGAGAGTGAGTTGGACACACCTGGGAATGGGACAGAAATACCTGAACATGGGCTGGAAACACCTGGAATGGGCTGGAAACACCTGGAAATGGGATAAAAGCATCTGGAAGTGGGAATGAAACACTTGGGAATGCGTTGGAAATACCTGGGAATGAGGTGGAACCTCTTGGAAGTGGGATAAAAACATCTGGAAATGGGTCCAAACCGTTTGGAAATGGGCTGGGAATACCTGGGAATGGGATGGAACTCCTGGAAGTGGGATAGAAATGCCTGGAAATGGGATGGGAACACTTGGGAATGGGATGGAAGCACCTGGAAATGAGCTGGGAATACCTGGGGACCCCCAAAAAAGGGGAGTTGAATAAAATTCCCCGTTTTTTGCCTTTTTTTTAACCTGTTTTTACCTGTTTGGGGCTCCCGGGTGGAAAAAGGTGGGAAGAGAGTGGGGAAAAGGGGAAAAGGGAAGAAAAACGATGGAGAAAGGGTGGGGGAAGGGTGGAAAATGATGGAAAAGGATGAGAAAGAGTAGGGAAAAGGTGGAAAAGGGTGGGAAAAGGTGAAGAAAAGGTGGAAAAATAGTGGCAAACTGCAGAAAAAAATGGGGAAAAGGCAGGCAAAGGATGAGAAAGGATGGAAAAAGGGTAGAAAAAGGTGAAAAATGGATGGAAAAAATGGTGAGAAGGGTGCGAAAAGGCGATGAAAAGGTGGAAAAAGGTGGGAAAAGGGAGGAAAAAAAGCAGAGAAATTGAAAACCGGGGGAAAATGCTGGAAAAAAGTCAGGTAAAGGATTTAAAAAGGGTGGGAAAAAGACGAAAAAGGACGGAAAAAGCGATGTAAAAGGAGGGGAAAGGGAGGGGATTTGCTGCAGATCCCCCCAAAAAACGAACCACAACCACAAGAAGGCGGTTTTGGGGAACCCCCCCCAAAAAAACGTGCGGACCGACGAGGGTGGGATTCGAACCCACGCGTGCAGAGCACAATGGATTAGCAGTCCATCGCCTTAACCACTCGGCCACCTCGTCCGCGGCTGCGCACTCGCGCCTCGCGCCCATCTGGCTCCTAAAGGGGCGTGGCTTCAGGGGAAGGGGCGTGGCCAGAAGCGCGGTCTCCGGTCGGGGGGGCGTGCTGTGGGCGTGGTTTACCCACCCCCGGAAATCCAGGGTTCGAATCCCGGGGGAGCCAACTGGGGAAGCGGGGAGGGTTTTAAATACGTTTTTAAAAATTGATTAATGAATTAAATGAATAAATTAGATAAACTTAAATAAAGAATAAATTAGATAAAAAGCAAAAATATTAAAAAAATTAATTAAATTGTTAAATCAATCGATCAATATATACATGTATAATAACATGCAGTAAATTGCACATTTTTTTTAATTGCTCCCATTTTCGGACCAATCGAGCCCCGCTCTAATTAATTGTGGTTAATTAGGAGTAATTATTAGTGGGTTTGGCAGCAGCAGAGTGGCGCAGCGGGAGCGTGCTGGGCCCATAACCCAGAGGTCGATGGATCGAAACCATCCTCTGCTAAGTCTGTTTTTTTCTCCCCCTCATCTCCTCTTTTCCCCCACTAATTTTCATTATTTTCCTTTTCCCCCCTATTTTTCCCTGACTTTCCTTTTTTTCCCCTCACTAATTTTCCTTGTCCTCCTCCCCATTTCCTCCCCTTTTCTGGGGTAGTAAAGGGTTTTTTTGGGGGGGTCTCCACCCTCGGGAAGATCCCGGGACAAGAATGGGGGTGGGAAAAGGGGTTTTTTTGGGGGTCTACCCCCCTCAGGGGATTCCGGGACACGCGTGTGTGTATGTGGGGATTTTGGGGGTCTGTCTTCTCGGGGGGTCCCGAATCTCGCGGGGGTGGGGGGAGGGGGGTTAGGGGGGTCTGATAATCTCTGATCGGGGGTGGTGCAGCGCCGGCGCCGTGGCTTAGTTGGTTAAAGCGCCTGTCTAGTAAACAGGAGATCCTGGGTTCGAATCCCAGCGGTGCCTCCGCCTGTGTCGCGACAGTAAGCACTGGCTTTTAACCCCCTCTCGCTTTTTTTCTATGTGCTTTTCTGTGTTTTTATGGGGGTTTTATGTATTTTTATATTTTCTACGGGTTTTAGGGTATTTTAATGTATTTTTTGTGGAGGCTTTATGGAGGTTTTATATATTTTTATGACTTTTTAATGAATTTTTATGGCTTTTTAATGTATTTAAATGTTTTTATTATAAATAATAATATATTATAAATACTTTAACAATATTTCAAATACTATAAATATTTCCTTATTATTATAGTATAACACATATTTTTTATGTATTTTTATGTTATATATTATACATTATGTAGTACATCACGTATATTATATATACTGTGTATCATACTTATTTTTAAAAATTTATTAATTATTATAGTGAAGGAGTTTGGCGAGTGGGGAAAGAGGAAGAGGGAAAAATGGAAATAAGAAGGAGGAAAAAACGGGAACAGAAAAAAAATCTTTCTTGTTCCCTGACCGGGAATCGAACCCGGGCCGCGGCGGTGAGAGCGCCGAATCCTGACCACTAGACCACCAGGGAACGCTGATAGAAGGCACCTGGACCCCCCTGGCAGAGTTTAGGGACCCCCTGAGAGGGCAGAGACCCCCAAACATTCCCTCAGGTGAGTCCTGGGACCTCCGGAGAGAGGAGACCCCCAAATTCCCCTTCATGTGTGTCTCGAGACCCCCCATGGGGCGAGACCTACGGGGAGGGGTCTATTGGGGGTCTATGGGGGTCTGTGGGTGTCTATGGGGGGTGTATGGGGGGTTCTGCGGGGGTCTCTGGGGGGTCTATGGGGGAGTTTTATGGGGGTCCTAATGAGGGGGGTTCCCCCGCCCCCTCCTCGTGTCTCCGCGCGCCCCCGTCGACCCCGCTCGGGCATCTTCGTTCACCTTCGGCACCGGTTCGGCTCCGCTCGGGGACCTTCGGGGACGTTCGGAAACCTTCGGGCCGGTCCGGCTCCGTTCGTCTCCGTTCGTCCCAGTTCGGTTCCATCCGGCTCCGTTCGACTTCGTTCGGCTCCGTTCGTCCCAGTTCGGCCGAGTTCGGCACCGTTCGGT